GGTTCAGTCCAGCCGTTGGGGTAGAGCCTCTTTTTACTAGTGAACTACTGCATTGAAAAAAATGAGAGTTATTTATGTTGTGATTTGATGAGAAGACTATTGGACTATGATAAAACCTTGAAGTATAATGTTCGAACGATTGTTGTAGCCATTCAATTTCCAATATATTTGCCGATTGTTCCCCCGGACAACATAGTCAGTTCTCACAACATCAGATCTTTGGTTCTCGGTTGGCAATGTATAAGCAAAGAACAAAATATATTGATTTAAGCTAACAACAAAAGTATAGTAATAAAAGAGCAACAATGGCTTAACTATAAAATGTCTTTTATGTAGTTGTGTAATAGCAAATCGAAAGGAATAGCCCAATAGAATAATTTACTGGTAAATTTAATTCACAAAAAACCATGAATTAGCAATAGGCAATGCTTCTTCTACATTCTATGCAGGAATATTTGCTTGCGACAAACTTTATACAAATAATATATATACTAATTATAAACAAATGTCACTCAACTTTGAAAGCAATATGTCATATAAGTAACAAATCAAACAAATTTGTTAGATAAAACTAATAGTTTATAACCGCACTGAAGCAGTGCGGAAACAAAATCTTAGAATCCACCATTGGGCGTTCTACGAATCCACAAAGAGACAACCTCGAATCCACAAAATAATATAAAGAGAGGAATTTTATCAATCACAAGCAATAATACACTTGGGGTTACAATCCTTCTTCCTAAGTAGAAACACAAAGCCTAATCCCGATAAGGCATATCTTTCTAAAAAGAGAAAGTACCAAAAACTAATTTAAAAAGATTCCCTAAAATCTTTAGGTATTTTGAAATTAGTTTCCTAAATCTTCATATTTGTAAATTCTGAAACTTTAGGGGGGGTTCTGCAATATATCAGACGGTTATTTACAAATTTTAAAACTTTTTAGGAGTTATTTGCAATTTCTAAAACTTTCTGCTGGTTTCTAGTAAATGTTTGGGATTATTTGCACTTTCTGAAACTTTTAGGGGGCTGTTTGCAAACTTTTCAAGGAGTTATTTGCAAGTTTTGAAACTTTAGAGGTTTTTTGAACTTTTTAGGGGTTATTTTCAAATTTTGAAACTTTCAGGGGCTAATTTATAATCTTTGGAAGTTTCAGGGGGTCATTTGCAGTTTTTGAAACTTTTAGGAGGCTGTTTATAACTTTTCAAAGGCTATTTTTCATTCTAAAATTTTCATGGGGTTATTTGTAATTTCCAAAACTTTCAGGAGGACTGTTGTAACATTTCAGTAAGCTGTTTGTAAGTCTTAGGGCGGTATTTGTACCTTTTAGGGTGGCTATTTGTAGTTTTTAAAACTTTTAGGAGTTGTTTGCAAATTTGGAAAATATTTAGGGAATTAATTGCAATTTCTAAAACTTGCAGAGTAATTTCCAGGGACATATTTGTAATTTCTAAAACTTTTAAGATTAGGTTTGTTATTAATATATTGCCAATATACTACGCAGAGAATTTGGTAATTTGATACTATCTTAATACCAATCCAATGATGAATCAAAATAAATTAACCAAACATGGGAGTATGTAATCCAATCCTTAATCCGAGTCCCACATGGTCAAGGAACCAAGCACTACTTAAAGATTTAGGGGACTAATTTTAAAACACTTTATATATTACGGGACCAATTTCAAAATATGAGGATTTGGGGGAATAATTTCAAAATACCTATAGAATTGGGACACTAATTTCAAAATATGAAGATTTAGGGAACTAATTTCTGGTGCCAACATGAAATATTTGAGGGACTAATATCTAAAAAACCCATCTACTTTTTGCTCTACTAAGCAAGGAGAGCAAAAAAGAGATATCTAGTCAGCAAATATTTTTTAACGTTACAATTTAATCTGACACATCAACGATTTTTAACAGAGTTTTTCAAAAAGGATCCACACTGAAAAAGGAGCAAAGATTAAGGACCGCATTTGATGACTTGCATACATTAAGGACCTAGATGATGTCTGACTCATACTTTTGACTCATACTTCAAGGACCTCCACTAAACTTTTGCCTTAATTCAACATCAAGTAACCATTTAATCAAAAAGGTATGAAGCATGTCAAAAAGCTATTCGAAGTTCATAAATAAAACATAGATCTAAAGGATAGTTTGATTTGTAAACTAGCATTGTGATTCGATTTATAATGGAACTCTAGATTTCCACTACTGCTCAGAAGATTACCATGCATAGGAAAAATGAAATCACACTAATAAGTTCCACCAAGTTCACTAGTTTAGAACATCTACTTACAATGTATACAAATTTTTTGGTCTCCGAAATGAGTATACATCCTCTACTTCTACCAACATTTGAGATTTAGGGGCTAGTTAGTACATTTCCGGAAAAAAAGGAAAACAGAAAACAGTGTTTGAAAACCATTTCTGGACATCTCAGAGGGTCTCCCCCATTTAATTTATTTGGTTTGTTTCACATTGAAATCATAGGCTGGAAAACAAGGATTTTCATTTCTTGGGTTTGTTTGAACATCCAAAAATTAAAAAATATCATTTCAGCCGTCGTTTCAATAGTGCTTTGATCAATTAAATATTACCTTTTAATCCTATGCGCCATTTCAACAGTGCTTTGAGCAATTAAAAATTGCTTGAAGTGACATTTCTCACCCATTTCAGCCCATTTTGGAACAGTGCTTTGAGCAATTAAAAATTGCTTGAAGTGACATTTCTCACCCATTTCAGCCCATTTTGGTCTGAAATGAGTTTTCTACAAAAGCTGACGTGGTGAAGTGACATTTCTCACCCATTTCAGCCCATTTTGGTCTGAAATGAGTTTTCTACAAAAGCTGACGTGGCACCCCATTTCACCCCCCATTTCTTTAAATTACATAGCGAACCAAACGCGGGGAATGAAAATGCCTTGAAATCAAAATCATATGTGGCGCTATTGTCAGATTTCAAATCCTCCATTTCTCTTTTTTTGAGCAAACAAACAGCCACTTAAAGTAAATGTTAATTACCATCAAACAAAACATGGAAGTTCTAAATTCTGAGTATTCAATATCACTAAATAGACTGAAACAATGATACCTTATGTAATTCAACTTTAAGAAAGTTTTGAAAACAGAATTAACATATAAATCAAAATTTTAAAGATTGGTTGAAATTGCTGCATATTGTCTTTAACGAATTTTTTTTACCATTTTTGGGAAATTGTTGCAATATCTCATGATTTCTTTAATATATAAGACGTCATTTGAGATTTTCCCGATACTTTAGGTGTTATTTCCACATAAAAAATAGATAGAAATGGTTCCATATGTGAGTTCGAGTTTGACATTTGTTTTAAAGATTAGGTTAGGACGTTCAAAGATTGGGTTAGGAGATTAGCACTCAATTGAGCTCAAACCCAAACTTGAAACGCGCAATATAAATCTCAATATAGGAATTAGAGTTCAATTACACCTCAATGCTCCTCCCTACATTTCTCAAGTTGAGTGTCTATTCACCCTTGACTGCATCTTACTTCATCACTCTCGGCTGCATAGTGAAACCTCCAAGCCATCCCCTCACTTGGACTGCCTGTTACATCATCACTTTTGACTGGATGTTGAAACTCAATCTCTCCCCCCCCCCTCTCTCTCCCCCCCCCCCCCTCTCTCTCTCTCTCTCAACTACATTAGAAACCACCAAGCCCTCCCTACACTTTGATGACCTACTTCGTCACTATTGAATGCATGTCAAAAGCACCAAGCCCACCCTCTCTTTCTTCCCCCTTATTTGTTTTATCACCCTCGGTCCTTTTGTCTCTTAGATATGTCATAATTACATGATTCAATATTATTATATTTTTAGATTTCATTGACATGCACACAGCCACATACAATATCCGACATGAAATTCTGATATTTGTTAAATTTCT